CCCCAAAACCCCAAAACCCCAAAACCCCTAGAGAAAATATCAATCTAACAATCAAGATTTTGAAAATTAAAATATAGTACGAGAACCTAATATCTTAAATACATTTTCATTTTTTCAAAAGATCATCAAACCATGAAATAACTCCTTCATCATCAATAAAATTCATATTTATATCTTCCTAATCCATTTCATTTATATAATTAAACCAAGCAGTCTTAAGAGCAAGTTCATAGCTTTTAACCCAATTCCTAGTATCAAATAGCAAACCATCCCGATCTCTTCTATCTATTATCATTTACTTTAACTATTTTAGTTTTAACGATCCCTATCTGAATCGGATATTTTCAGACAAATTTTCCTATTCTTATTTTGAACCCTTGTAACCTTTTGCTAATTACACTGCCATATCCTCATAGTCTTTAATATTTTCTGTGATAAGGTAATTCTCCGCTTCTTCTAGCATATCAAGACCGTGATATAGACTAGATGTGACTCTCCGAGCCCAACTAACCCCTCTAAGCGTAAGTACTGGCAACCCTGCCCATAGACAATCACAGTTAGTCGTGTGACCATTATAAAATATAGTATCCAAAGCTAGATCAGCCAGATGTAATCTATCAACATGCTCTTCATGTGAAACTCTTTAGAGCATTTTGATTCTTTTGAAAGCAATATTGTGCTTCTAAGCTAACTAGTAAAAAGCTCTCCTAGAATCCTAGCTTCCACCATCTAATAAAAGTAAAATTGAGTTGGGCACTCTTTGCAAAATTCTCATCCAAGTTGAAATTAATTTTTCATCTAGCTTGTAATGTTGATTTAGAGCTGAATAAATAAATGTGTTTTCAGATATATTCAGAGAATTTCGCTTCACTTTTAATGAATCACTTCTTAGCACATGTCTAAGGCCATACTTATGATGGACGGTATAGTATGATTTAGGCATAAGTATAAGTTTCTCAGTTATCAAATATGAGTTGTCACTTGGCACTACAATTACATCTGCAATAGAATATTGGAAATAAGTTGCACCCATAGTCTATGGGTAAGCAATTAAGTTTATGTTTATTGATGCTGGTTAAAGAGCGAATACGCCAAATCTGTGATCCTCTGTCTATCCCTTTAAGCTTACTAGAATATCAATGCTCAAATCATTGATTAGTTTCGCAGTTTGGAAATCTGAATAATTCCAAACATTATAATATTTCAAGAACTAAGTCATTTCTTTGACATCCTTATGGTCTTAATTAAAGTTAAAAGTCGAAAAGAAATATATTTCAAACTCTGATTTATTAGTGAATTCGTAAATTGGAAGCATTAAGCTGTATAAATCATGTTTAAAAACACAGGATCCAAGATATCCTATCCTTAGTCTTGATTTTTAACTCGATTGATTTGTGTTTCCAAATCTTTAATCATGTTTAAAAGGAATTAGTTATCTCTCTATTGGAGTTAAAGCTTACATTGTTCTCTATTTTACATCGTTTGCAACTATTTCATGAATATATTTCGAAGTGTCAGGTTCTATATCATAAAACATTGTACTCCAGCCTAATTTATCCGATATAGGAAGTTACCCCTTTGCCTCTCTTGCAAATTTTTCAATTTGATAGTAATGCTGAGTAATTTAGTCTCTATACTTAAGAATAAATTTTTTCGGAGAGAATAAGGCAACATAAGCAAACTATGAATCATATCTGGGTTCATATTCAAGTCCTTTCAAATGATATTTAGCAGCTGACTCAGTGTCTCTACAATCCTTGCTATATACACTCATATTGAAATATAAAGAATAGTCACTCGTAATTTAAATTGCTTTCTCGAAACTAGGAAAGGCATTATTGCACTTTTTCATTTTCCCCATCAACTAGCCTTTAGTGATGTGAATTTTCCAATTTTCTGGTTAGCTTTCAATTAATTTATCAATAAGTTCTATAGCTTGAGTAGAGTTATTTTGCAAAAAATATATCCAGACCAAATCAAGTTTACAGGTAATATTTTAAGCATCTTTATCTATTCGTAATTTTAAGCTATTTTCGATTTATTTCAAAGATAATTTCTAGAATTTTATGTCGTAATTCTCCAAATTATTGCACAACTCTTGATATTGATCACAATTGATTCTAAGACTTTTATTTTATTGCATGCTGGCTAAATCAAAACAAATCAATACTAAAAGCACAATGAGTAGCAGTCTAGACTCTGTACAAGATGAATTTATCATTTATGAGTTAATAATAAATTCTCGAATTAATTTGCGAAATAATGTTCAGTAACTTACAGAGTTTTCATGGGGTTTTGGGGTTTTGGGGTTTTGGGG